CACCTCTTCTTAAAATCAATGTTAATATACTTTAATGGTTCCGCACAATTATCTTGTTAACATCCGTTTTCACCTTAATAATTATTTATAATCACCTAAAGAAATTCATTGCACTTATATTGGCACACCTATTCTTTTGAGGAACTATAGGTGTGTCAAATTATTACTATATAATGTGAAACATAATTTTGTTTGCATATTCTGGCGGTACAGTTCTCAGTTGGCCTAGACTACATCAAACATGAAGATCATTCTCGCAGTCTGCCTCATAGCAGCTTTTCTCGGGTGCAGCAGTGAGTAAACAAATCCATCTTCATTTTGTAATATACCTAACACAATTTTTTGCAGGCCTGATATATTTCTTTTGTGTTTCTCTTTTTATTCAAGCTAAATCGCTGTTCTCATTCAGTACCGTATCACTTTGTATACGCGGTGTTGAACATCGTTACCGTATTTTAGATGCACTAAAGTTTGAACAAGCAGATCCCTCTCCTTTATTGTTACACTAATGTAAGAAGCATTACCACAACACGACTTAAAGTTTTTAGAGTTTTTTCTCGTTATTATGAGGTCTTGTCTTTTAAATACTTAAAATGAGAGGTATAGATGTGTATAAGAGACAGGTGGTGATTGATCGATCGATTATGTTTTGATTTACAGATGCGGCCATAACTAGATACGTATGTGAGCATAAAACCTTAACCATCGACTGTGGCAACCACAAGATTAACATTCTGTGCTCCAGCTACGGACGCTCTGTGTCCTATAGCCAGCGCTGTTGGTCCTCGACCACAACATGTGACACGACGTGCATTGCGCAATCATCAATATCTAAGGTCAACCAGCTCTGCGATGGGAAGTCGTCATGTAGTGTCAAGGCTAGTAACAGTGTTTTTGGTGACCCCTGTTACAGAACATTCAAGTATCTGGAGGTCTCGTACGAGTGTGAGTAATTGTGTAGTTTAAGTTTGTTCAATTTGGAAAATTTAAAGTTGTGGCTGGGCTTCTGGGGAGCTACGACCAATGGCACCGAGAGGCCGGGGAAACCGAGGAAAGTGCACCGGGGCCCGATCGTTGCAGGGGCCCAGGATAACTAGGTAAAAAATAATAAAACAAAATAAAATAAATTAAAAAAAATTATTAAACGTATGCATTATCTAGTATCATTCATGTGCTTTCTCCGCGAGGATTGCAAATAAAGCCGACTTCATCGATGAAATCCGGTAGCTTCTTATTTATTTTTCATGAATATTTTCATGACCTTTACTAGTCTAGATTTTATGTTTACAATGTATTAAATATTAAATTCTTTACAAAGATAAAGAAATAAAAATTATTAAACGTATACATTCTTCCAGTATAATTAATGTTTTTCCCACGAGAATTGTAAATGAAGTTTACTACATTAATTAATAATTATAAAGAGCTTGGACCCTGAACATCGTCAATATACATACAGGCTAGGCAATCCAGCATTTGAAGTTTAAACAAATCGCAAACAAAGGTTTTTCTTTTTTAATCAAATACATATAATGAGGGGATGAAATTCCAGAAATCACACCTCGGTCACACCTCGGTAACTTATGCAAATTAGCTAAAATATGCAAATATGGTGAAAATATAGGGCTCTTATATCTTGGCAACCGCTGGTCGCATAGAGTTGCTTTCTGTTTCAAATAAATCAGAATTACATGCATGTTTCTATTTACTCTAATGGAACATTTGCCTCAAAAATGAACGGAAATGCTACAATTGACCTCTGACCTTATATTCACTGGATTGCATATATCTGGCTATTGTACATAGAAACTTACTTTAGGTCTCAAATCATTCAAATGCATGTTTCTTTGCGTCATATTAATAGAAGGGATGGAAATCTATAATCACATCACGGTCACGTATACTCTTCATATGCAAATTAGCTCTTAATTATGCCAATTGATAATGAAAACATAGGAATCCCATATCTTGGCAACCGCTGGTCACAGAGAGTTGCTTTCTGTTTCAAATTAATTAGAACATGCATGTTTCCATTTGCTCTAATGAAACATCTGCCTAAAAAATGAAAGGAAATGCTACAATTGACCTCTGATCTTATATTCACATGAATTTGCGTATCTCTGTGACAATGTACAGTACATAGAAACTTATTTTAGGCCTCAAATTACTCAAATGCCTGTTTCTTTGCATTATATTAATAGAAGGGATTAAAATCTATAATCACACCATGGTCACATACTGTTCATATTCAAATTAGCTCTTAATTATGCAAATTAAGAATGAAAATATAGCGTCCCATATCTCGGCAACTACTGGTCGCAGGAAGTTGCTTTCTTTTTAAAATTATTTGGAACATGTATGTTTCTATTCACTCTAATAGAAAATTTGCCTTAAAAATGACCGGAAATGCTACAACTCACCTTTTACCTTATTTATATTCACTGAATTTGTAACGAAGTTCCCATCTCACGAAGTGACAATTCCATATTTCAGCTTAATTGGGGGAAAAATAATGACGTTTACTGTCGTTTTTTTCACTGAATCTTTAGTTATTCCGACCAAATGGCAATGTTTATGTTGTGGAACACCAAAAGAGGAACATTAAACGTATGCAATTCCGCATCCGGTTTCATATGGAACGCCAAAAAGGCAACTTTCAAACACAGTTTTCAGTACAATAATTATATAATTTTCGCCTTCCCGTCCCATGATTCTAGTGTTAAGCTTGGTTTTTATACAATCGCTTCACGCTATCGCCGACAGCTTCCAGTGAAGCCGATTGATCGGTCGAATCGGGGAGAGCCTTCCCGATTTCGGCGGGGACTGCATGCAATACATCTATTGCACTGAAAACACTGTAGCGGCATTGTAGCGAGCGACTGTATAGAAACAAAGCTTTATATATATTTTGAAATTCAAGGGTTTTGTTCTCACGACAACACTTTTCAAATTATTTTAGCTATACTGAAATTTAGTCCACCACAATTCTATCTTTGTAAGTCTGATTTGGTGGATGGTTATGTAAAGTTATAAATAAATATAGTGTCTTGCACAAAAAATGGACATAATATTAATTATTTATTACGGTAATTCTCTTTTACAGGTGTGTGGACGTGGTAACAAGTGGAGCTACTGAAGGATGTGATCGACCGCGTTTAATGACAACAAAAAAGAAAACAATTAAAACTTTGATAATGATATTTTTTAGCAATAAAGAGCCCTACCAATATTTTTTATAACCTGTTTTTTCGTCTGTAAGTTTAATATTGTTGGATAGTATAGATAAGGGTACCTTTGATCTTTTGAAAGGGTATGTTGCTGTCCCTGGTAAAATATAATAGTTCATAGATCGTGCTCTTCCTCAGTAATCAGGCTAAATTCCCATTTAGGCCTGTTTTCACGCGCATTCGCTTTACATAATAAAATATGTTTTCAACCAGAACCCTAACTTCTGTAATTGTCAATTCATTTGGTGCCTCTTTTTTCAAACTGTTTTCCTTATTTTAACGTATGAGGCCCTGAGCGATAAAATCGATCTCGCTGATGAAGTCAAACTTTTTACTAGGAAAATCAAGATTTTTGCAGAGAATCAAGGAACATTAGTGATTCATCATGCATTAAAGCCCTTTCACATATCTTCAGGTTCCAGTTCAAGTTTCGGTTTTTTGATAACTGTTCAAATCTAAAGTACAATCCCGTTCCCAGTTATTCATGTTTCTAAAATTTAACTGTAATTCGTATTAAGATACAAAATACAATAGTTTCATCATGGTTTAAAATGTTTTGTATAATGAATAAACTGCTATAAAACAATATAATGTTCATTTTGATTCTTTAATTCCATAGAAATTTCACTTGATTTATAATTATTATTATTTGAGAGCAAACGGGCTGAGGTCACGTAAGATAGACATTTATATATAGCCATATTGTAAAATGTTTACCTTCGCGGCCCCCTGGCCCCCAGCATTTGGTTC